CTCACCTGTAAAATAAAGGGGCTAGCGGCCTGAATTCCCTCACAGAATGGATGAGAGGGAAGTGGGCTTGAAGTGGGAGTTGTTTTTATCTAGTCTCATTTTACAGATGAGTTATTTTATAGAAGTGAAGTGAGTTGCCCTAGGTCCCAGGTAGTAAGGAGCAGAGCCCAGATGTCTGCCTGGTTCCCTGACTCCAAATCACCCAGTCCATGCTTCTGATCTTGCCCACTCTAGCATTCACTGCCATGTGACTCTGAGTGAGTCCTTTCCACATTCTGAGCCTCCATTTATGCCTTAATCATTCTCAGTCTTCTCAGGAGTTATAGTTAGGGTTAGTTTCCTAGCTTTTCATGCTTATACATTTTCCTTTTATTCTCTATTTCTCCCTTGACAGTATCTTTTTTTCTTTTTTTTGAGCAGGATCACTTAGAGGATCCAACTCAACTTTTAAATACTGTGTGTCAAAAATACCAGGTGAGTTGCCAGACCTCATTTAGAAACACTTCCAAGATGAGGAGTCCCTGGAACTGGTCAGGGCCTTAATTCAAGAGGGCCAGTGGTGGTGCTAGGGGGTTGGCTGGGGCTGAGGGTGCTGGTGGTAGTGGTAGTGGTATCAGGCTCCAGGACTCAGGCTCTCAGACTCCACAATTCCCAGCAGGGAGAGGAGGGGACGAAGATGAGTTGGGACCTAACAGTAACAGTGTCAATATCTTTTGTAGGGGGAGGAGCCTGAAGCCTGCAAAAGGAATACCTTTACCTTCACCAACTGAATCTTCTTGCAGTGAACCTGCAGTGGCCTCAGGTGCATTAATGCAGGCCTGGTATACTAACACTACCAGTCATATACATCAGGAGGGAGCTGGTTGGGCTGGGAGGGACCAAGTGCCCATGAGTAGTAGCCCAGAGTTTGACGCATCTGAGTACCCTGATCTTTTTGTATCTTCCTGACAGGCTCAGGAAATCTCACCCTCTCCAGGGTTTTGTTGAAATAAAAACCTATTTTTTAAAGATGGTAATAATTTATTTATTTTTAGTTTTTAACATTCATTTCCCTAAGATTTTGAGTTTCAAATTTTCTTCCTTTCTCCTCCTTCCCCCTCCCCAAGACGGCATGTAATCTGATGTAGGCTCTACTTATACATTCATATTAAGCATATTTCCCATTAGTCATCAGATATAGAAGAATTAGAACCAATGGGAGGAACCACGAGAAAGAAGAAATAAAAACAACAAAAGAAAAGGGGAGCAAATAGTATGCTTCCATCTGCATTCAGACTCCATGGTTCTTTTTCTGGATGTGGATAGCATTCTCCATCATGAGTCTTTTGGAGTTGTCTTAGATCCTTGCACTGCTGAGAAGAGCTAAGTCTATCAAAGTCAGTCATTGCACAATGTGGCCGTTTCTGTGTACAATGTTCTCCTGGTTCTGCTGACTTCACTCAGCTCATCATCTTATACCACAATAGTACTCCAGTACATTCCAATACCATAACTTGTTCAGCCATTCCCCAATTGATGAGCATCCCCTCAATTTCCAATTCTTTGCCACCACAGAAAGAGCTGTTACAAATATTTTTGTACATGTGGGTCCTTTCCCCATAAAAACCAGTTTTTCAAAAGATTATTGAAGAGTTTAAAAAACAAAACAAAAAACAAGAAGGACAGAGGGCCCAGGTCCTGCCAAGCTCTGACATTCTATGTTCTAAGGTTCCTTCCAGATGTGACATTGTGTTCTAAGGTCCTTCCCAGCCTTGGCATTCTATGGGCCAAGTTCTCTTCTAGTTTGGATCATGACCTAATTCTCTTCTAGCTACCTTTCTCTTCTCTACACTTGGTGGTTTCTCCCAGGAATAACATTCTTTACTGCCTTGATAGTCAAGTTCCACAGTCTCTTCTCAGAAACACATCTGAAATACAGTAACTTTGACAGTTCCCATTCATATGACCCTTTACTCTTTACAATGAATCATTTTTTAAAAAAAAATTTATGTTTTCTTGCACATACAAGACTTGGTGCCCAAATAGTTGCAATTTCTCCAGGAGATACAACCAGACTCAGGAACCAATTAGACAACAATTAAATTCTGTGATTGAGTGTTGGGTTACTGGGGCCCCATGCTCTGCTGGGATCTGAGAAAACAGGTCACAGATCATTCCATCAACAGTAGTCTCTGAAAATCACTTTTGGCAGTATGAAGGATGGACTGGAGTGGGTAGAGACTTGAGGCAGGCAGACCACCCCCCTATCCCTTCCCACTCCAAGCTATTGCAGTGGTCCAGGGATGAGGTGATAAGGGTCTGCACTAGAGGGGTGTCGGTGTCAGAGGAGAGAAGGGGGCTTATTGGAGAGATGTTAGGAAAGTGAAGTTGGCAGACCTTGACAACAGCTTGGATATGAAGTTGAGAGATACTGAGAAGTCCAGGATGACTCCTAGGTTGTAAGCGTGAGGGAACTGGAGTGTGGTGTTGCCCTCTACAGTAACAGAGAAAGGTGTGTGTGTGTGGTTGGAGGGTTCAAGGGGGAAAAATGATGAATTTGTTTTTGGGCCTCAGTTTAAGATATCTACAGGGACATCCAATTTGACATCTCTAATAGTCATCTGGAAATGGGACTCAGGATGTATATAGAGAGGTTAGGTCTAGATAAATAGATTTGAGAATCATCAGAATACAGAAAATTGAATCCAAGGAAAGTGATGAGGTCCTGAAATGAAGTGGAATTGAGGGAGAAAAGAGATCAGGACAGAGCCTTGGGGGATGCTTAAACTTGGTGGGTGTAACCTGGATGGAGTATGAGCAAAGGAGACTCAGGCATCTATAGACAGACAGCAGAACTGGGAGAGAGCAGTCTCTTTTTTGGGGGTGGGGGGCTATTAGCACATAAATCTTGTGTTTACTGAGCCTGCTGAAATGTAATACATGGTCAATTTTTGTGTAGGTGCAATGTACCACTGAGAAAAATGTTCCCATTCTCTTTCTCCAGAGATCTAGCATATCTAACTTTTTCAGAATTTTACTCACCTCCTTAACCTCTGTTTCGTCTATTTTTGGGTTAGATTTCTTGTTTGGAGAGGGGAAATTTGAGGTCCCCACTAGTATATATTTATTGTCTATTCCCCCCAGTAACTCTTTTAATTTTTCTTAAAAAAATTTAGATGTTATACCATTTGGTGCGTATATATTTAGCAGTGATATGACTTCATTGTCTCTGGTACCTTTCAGCAAGATATAATTAATTTCCTTCTTATCTTTTTTAATTAGATCTATTTTTGCTTTTGCTTTGTCTGAGATCATGACTGCTGCCCCTGCTGTCTTTGCTTTAGCTGAAGCATAATAGATTCTGCTCCAGCCCCTTATCTTTACTGGATCTCTGTGCTTCAGGTATGTTTCTGGTAAACAACATATTGAAGGATTCTGGTTTTTAATCCATTCTGCTGTCCACTTGTTCTATAGGAGAATTCATCCCATTTACATTTATAGTTATGATAACCATGTATTTCCCTCCATACTATTTTCCCCGGATCATCCCCCTTTACCCCTTCCCTGTCCCTTCTCTGTTTTACTTCTGATCACTGCTTCCCTCATTCTGCCCTCTTCTATCATTCACCATCCCCCTTCTATTATTCCCATCCTTTTTTATATGGTAAGACAGATTTCTGTATCCAGCTCAGTGTGTAACTTATTTCTTCTTTGAGCCAATTCTAATGAGTAAGGTTTAAGCTTTGCCTGCCCCCATCTTCCCCTCTAGTATAAAACCTCTTTCATTTCTCTCTTATGTGAGATGATTTACCTCATTATATCTCCACCCCTTCTTTTTCCAATGCAATTGTCTTTCTCACCCATTTTGTTTTTGTGGGTATCATTCCATCAAAGTTATCTTTTATTCACACCATCTGTCTACATATACTCCTTCTAACTATTTATTAGTAATAAATTTCTTAAGAGCTAGAAATATTATCTTGCCATACAGAAATAAAAACAGTTTAAACTTATTGAATCTCTTATGTTTTCTCTTTTTCTCTTTTTTTTTAAACCTTTTTAGGTTTCTCTTGAGTCTTGTATTTGGAGATCAAATTTTTTATTCAGCTCTAGTCTTTTTATTAGGAAAGTCTGAAAGTCCTCTATTTCATTAAATATCCATTTTTTTCCTTGAAGGATTATATTTGGTTTTGTTGAGTAGGGATTCTTTATTGTAATGTTAACACCTTTGCCTTCTAGAATATCATATTCCAAGTCCTTGGGTTCTTTAATGTGGAAGCTCCCAAATCCAGTGTAATCCTAACTGTAGCTCCAGGACATTTGAATTGTTTCTTTTTGACTGCTTGCAGCACTTTCTCCTTCATCTGTGAGCTTTGGAATTTGACTATGATGTTCCTGGGAATTTTTACTTTGGGATCTCTTTCAGTAGGGGAACAGGGAATTCTTTCAATTTGTCCTCTGGTTCTAGTATATTGGTGCAGTTTTCCTTGATAATCTCTTTAAAGATGTTGTTCAGGCCTTTTTATTTTTAAATCATGACTTTCAGGGAGTCTGATAATTTTTGAATTCTCTCTCTTGGATCTATTTTCCAGGTTAGTTGTTTTTCCAATGAGAAATTTCACATTTTCTTCCATTTTTAAAATTTATGTTTTAATTGTATCTCAATGTCTCATGGAGTCTTTAGCTTCCATTTGCCCAGTTCTAATTTTTAAGGAATTATTTTTTTCATTGAGCTTTTATACTTCCTTTTCCATTTGGCCAATTCTATTTTTAGGGAGTTATTTTCTTCAGTAAATTTTTCTATAACTTTCCATACTGTTGACTCTTTTTTGGTGATTTTCTTGCATTACTCTCATTTCTTTTCCCAATTTTTCTTCTACTTTTCTAATTTCCTTTTTAAAAAATTTTTAAGCTCTTTCAGCAGTTTTTATTGTGCCTGAGACTAAATTACATTTTCTTTGAAGTTTTACATGTACCATTTTGACAATGTTGTCCTATTCTAAGTTTCTGCTTTGCTCCTCCCTGTCATAGTAGCTTTCTATTATCAAACTGGCTTTTTGATCTTTTTTTTTTCTCCCTATTTTTTGACTCAGTATCTTTATTTGAGAGTTGGGCTCTGGTCCTGCACTGTCCCACGTTTCTGGTGCTTGGGCTCAGGGCCTTGCTGCTGGCTTTCACTGGGCTTCAGGGCCTAGGCGCTGGCTTGTACTTGGGGGGTGAAGGGTAAGGCCTCCCTCATAACCTCTCCTGGGTGTGTGGATTCAGTGCTGGCCTGCTCCCTGCAGCATGGAGTGGGGGGAGGCTTTGTGCTTGGTTGCTGTGGAAATAAGGCCTCTCTTCTGGCTGGCCCCAGGGGCAGGGCCTCACTACTGGTCAGTCATAGGGATCAGGCCTTGATGGTGGCCTGTGTTGGGGATGGGGCCTTGCTAGACTGCCTAGACTGCTGGGTTGCAGGAGGGTGGGGCCCCCTAGTAGATTACCCCCATCTTTGAACTTTGCTGCAGGCTCCCTGTTGTGAGGTTAGCAGCTGAAGAGCAGCCACTTTTAAGGACTCCTGGTCAGGTTCAGTTTGACCAAAACCACAATTTCAAAGGACTCACGAAACATGATAGCCATCCCCAGATAAGACAGCTGAAGGCCTCACAGGGCAGAGAGACGAATGTTTTCTTCTTTCTTGATTTTTCCATTTTGGGGGGGGGGGGAAGGGGGCGGGACATGGCCAAAGTGGAAAGATGTTCTGCAAATTTCTACCAGAAGGAGGGAATAAACATTTATATAGTGCCTACTATGTGCCAGGCCTGTTGAGCATTTTAGGAATATTGCCTCATTTGCGTCTCACAACAACCCTGGGAGGTAGGTGGTTGTCCTCCCCATTTTACAGATGGGGAAACTGAGGCTGACAGCTGAAGACTTACCCTGGGTCCCAGAGCCAGAAGTGCCTGAGACTGCACCTGCCCCGGGCTCTTCCTGACCGCCCAGCGCTCTGGGAACACGGCGGCCCCCAGCGGGTTTCTTTAGTGAGTT